TTTGGGTCGGCGTGTCGCGACCCTATTTTACTCCGTTCCACCTCTCTGCTCCTTCTCGCCCCCCCCCCAGACACTTCGTTACCTCTGTCTCCCGCTAGGAACCCCGATTCCCTTTTCCTCCTGACACGGTTCGTTTCCTCTCTCTACATCCCGCACCACTTCGTCAGCTCCCTTCGAAGCATCCTCTCCCCCCCCCCCGACCCGCTTTCCTTAATGCACTCTGTCCCGAGCTCGGCTCCGCTCCGCTCCCCAGCAAGCCCCACCCCACAATCTGTGGCCGCCTCCACCCGGCCTCGCACTTTCTGCTCTTCGCCTCTCCGACCTTTCCGTTCGCCCACTCGACCTCCCGCAGCCGTCGATTAACACCTCCGGCGCCCTTCCCGCCTTTTTTTTTTTTTTTTTGCTCGCTTTCTTTCCTCTCTCCTTCACTGTTGCTGCTCACACCATCTCGGCACCTTCCCGGGGCAGAGCCCGTTGGCCGAATTCCTCAGCGCCGGCAAAGTTGGTTGAGCCGCCCAGGCAGGACTCGCTGGCAGCGACAGCAAAGGGGAGGAAAAGGAAAGGGAAGCGGGGCCGAGCCGTCCTCCCCCCCCCCCACCTCCGACAGCCCGTCAGCTCTGCTTGGGGCGGACGGAGCGGCGTTTGCGCCGGCGAAGACCGCCCGCTCCTTCCAGCAGCTGGCCGGCGAAAACGATGGGTGCCTCTCGCGCCTCCGCCGCCGCCGCCGCTTTCCCTCCCCGACGGGCCTTCGCCCCGGCGCCGCGAATGAAGAGGCTGGGCGCGTTCTGCCTCTGCCTTTGGATCGGCGTCGTCTCGGAAGCAGGTGAGGAAGCGCAGGCGCGCCGTCGACGGAGCGCACGCTTGCGCCGGCAAGTGGCTGCGCGAGGTGGGGCGGGAAGGTACGGAGACGGGGTGGACGTCCCCGGGTGGCAGCATGCGCGGGAGGCTGAGGTCGGATGGAAGGACTTGTGGGGGGGGGGGGGAGAGGAGAGACAGACCGCTGTCTTCCAGTCAACCCTATCCGAATCCAGCAGGGCGGAGTAGAGTCACACGCTTCCCCGACAGTCCCCCCTTAGCTCTGCCCGAGCGCCTTCGCCCAGCGCTGCCTCTTTTCCTGCTCTCTCCCGCCCCTCGTCCCGTATGAGTGATCTCTGTCATTTTATACGGGATATCTCCATAATGTGTTGGGCCGCTCATTTTGGATTCTTCTTTGCTGCATTCCATGCTCCGCTCATTTTGGACTTTCCCTTGTTGTTTATTTCCACCATTCTGGGCACGGCAGCTGCCAGCTAACTGCTTCTTCCAGCGCGTGTTATCTTTTTCGACGACGTTGAACAACTATGCTTCATTCCACCGGCAGAGGGCACTCTCGGGTGTTAATTTCCCCCCTCGCCCCGGCTGCCCCAATTCCTTAGAAAAGGTGATTTGGAAAGGACGCCTCCTTATCAATTTTGCTATAAGGATTAATTGCTTTGTCGATTTAGGATAAGAAGAACGGGTGCTGGTTCTTTAGGAAATCTCTTCTGAGAACCTGTTCTAAGTTATTTTGTCTCTTGTGTTTATATGTACCTAATGTGTTTTTAAAGTACTGTCTGGTCCTTAAAGGATTGCTGCTGCTCTAATTTAATTCGGTGGGCTTTCCAAATGAATATGTTTGGAATTGAGAAACGTTTTGCAGGGAAGAGATCCATTCGCATTTCCTTTTTCAAGGGACTAAATGAGGTTTTGCTCTTATTTATTATGTATATGTCACGTGCCGTTATGGATTCTAGCCTGTTCCCAATAAAATAAAACCATAACATAAAGATTAAAAAATACTCCTTGTAGGATCAGCTGCTCCCACCTAAACTGAATTCTTCATACTTCCTTGTAGAAGCCTCTGATACGACTTGGCTTTCCCAAGTTTGATACAACTTGGCTTTCCCAAGTTTGTTACATTTATCACTCTCAGTGACCTGGGAGGCTTACAAAAATAAAAACTCAATATACAACAATAACAAAAAAATACCCCACCCCACCCTTGGTGACAGCAATCAGTCAAACAACCCATAAGTCTGGGTTCTCCAGACCCGTGGCAAAATCAGGTCTTCTGTATCTTGCGAAAGAGTGTCAAAGTGGGGGCTGGTCTATGTAGGGATAATGTGCCAAAGCAAGGGAGCCACTATGGAGAAGGCCCTTCTTCTGGGTCCTGCCAGATGTACATCCATAAGAGAGGGGACCCAAAACATTCTCAAGTTCAATGACTGGCAATATAATTGGGCTTTAGTAATTGGTGATAGGCTGTAAGAACTCTCTAAAGTAGAAAAATGTTGTGGAAAAATAAAATTTCAGTCCAATTTCCCGAGGGTTCATTTTTACATCTGTACTTCCTAATTAATTTTAAAACTGGACAAAAGTAGGTGTACATGGGTGAAAATAGCTGTTTCAGATGCATGTTGCAACAATCTATGCCTATCTTGCTTCTGGTGATTTTAACATTTATCAGTAAAATAAAATGGTACTTGGGTCTGAATAAAGTAAGCTGGATTGAGCCCTGTAAACCGCCAGACAAACCTGAAAGTGGGTAGATTGTCTGTGCAGGAATAAACAATAAAATAAATCTGTAGGCTGCAACTGCTGACATGGAGAAAATGCTTTTGTAGCAGACTGATACATGATTTGCTAGAGTTCAGCTGAGAGGCCATAAAGAGAGAAACCACAGAAAAATCTTACTGCAGGAAGCTTTATATGTGGTAAGATCAATTTTTGCAGCGTAAGATCATTTTTGATAGCCTCAGCTCTAGAAGCATCATGATTGTAGCATATTATTTATTGCTATTGTATCAAAAATGATATAAAACAGGATCCTCAAATGAGCAATAGTTGAAACGTCTATGGAATGCAGCACTATGATACTATACAATGATCACTGCCATATGGGAATTTAATCCAGGGTGTATTATCTGAGGATGCTGCTGCCTTTTTTATACTAGCTTAATGCATATACAATGGATGTTATACTCTGGATTTGAGTGATCAAGCTACAATACATTTTAATTAATGTTACAACGAAGACTGAATTTAGATACCTTTGCCAACATTTCTTAGAAATTGGCAGGTAATATATAGCAAGAATGATATCAGTCTTGAATGCAGAGTGCATGCTGTCATATTCAAATAAGATAATTTACTAATGAGGCATTGGGATATTGGAGTTAGAACAGGAGTGCAAGATATGAGGCCTCTTCATCAAAAGAGAGCAGGCAAAAGAAAATGTATTATTTTGTGTATTAGTGAATTTTTACAAGTTTGGGGCAGTTTTAAGGGGTAAAATTGGAATTTCTGCAGTTAAGGCTCCCATTTCGTCCATTAACATTTTCAAAATCCAGGCTCTGCTGACTTTTGAAATGCTATTTTCAACAGGACACACAAAATCTAATGTGGCCCTTGAGGAGATAAATGTTAGGCACCTAGAGTTAAATTGTAAAAAAAATAGCTTTGGCTACTTACATAGGAAATAGTTTTAAATTGTAAAAAAAATAGCTTTGACTACTTACATAGGAAATAGTTTTAAACTAAACTCTCATGTATTTAATAATGAACTTAACTGTAGATCACATTTACATACCATGATAGTTGGGTTTTCATAACACCCTAAGCCAAAAGTAACTAAATGACCCTAAGGTTTAATGTAATGTATAACCCAAGCCGATCTCCATATAATCTATTTCAGAAGTAATAAATAAGTTTTTTTCTGTCGTGGTGCCTGCCTCGTGGAACAGGCTCTCCTAGAAATATGAATGACCTCAACTCTGTTGGCCTTCAAGAAAGCAGTGAAATCTGGTGTGGTTGATTGATGGATGCAAGTTTTATTGTAGGTGGCCACCATGTTGTTTTTGTTTGTTTCAATTTTTTTAAAAAAATATTGTTTTACTCTTCTTTCACATTTAGAATTCCTTCTGGTAAATGGGTGATCATAAAAGGTTGCAGAATGAATAAATAAAACTTAGATAAATATCTAAGCCCATTTAAATCAGGCTTTAGCCTTAGTGCATTAAAACAGCTTTGTTATTAATTACTTCTGTTGGGACAGGAACTGAGGGAATGCTGTCTTTCTGATCCTCATGGATTTCCCTCAGTTACTTGATAACATTGAGCAGAAGAAGAGTCCTTAGAAGAACAATTTTGTGGGAATTGGGGGATTTTGTTGAAATAATTAGGTTTCTATCTTCTGGTTTGCCACCAAAGGTTTGCCTTCCCCCATAGTTTCTTGGTTATGTATTCTGCCGAGGTCTCTTGTCTTTGCTTGTTAATGCCCATATGAATCTTCTTGAAAATATTAGCTAGGGATTTGAATATAGTATCATGCTGATGATACCCTGTGATCTATCTTTGCATTCCAGCTGAATAATAGATTTGCAGGTACCTAGCTGAAACTAGGAGCAATGATCAGTTTGATGAGAGTACGTGCAGTAAAGCTGATTCTTGATGAAATGTAGTGCAATGGATAGATTTTTTGATGAGACTGACTTCAGCAGTGCAAGAATCTTCCTTGATTCATAAAAATGGTGGTTTTTAAGGATAAGGAATGGTTCTACTCAACTTTAGCTGGTTCAGTAAATACTTTCCCGCAATAGTCTAACTTTGCACCTGAAAATGTAAGAAAGTCATGTCCTAACCAAGGTCTTGCCCATGGTAATGGTCCATGCTGTGGCGATTAAAGAAGTATTTCACTGATTGAATTCTCTTTTAAAATGTGGATTTTTTTATCTCTTGATATTTTACACAATTTAAAACAAGTCATTTTCCCTTTCTAATACAGTTCTGGAACTTGAACTGAGATATGTTTTAGCTGTCCATTTGTGGCCTATGTCCATCTTTTAGTTGTTTTATGGATGATTTAAATTCTTGTACTGACTGTAATGTTATTTGTCTAGGGACGTTCAAGAAGAATTATGATAGATGGCGATAAAATGTACCCTTTCGAGACACTATATGTTTGTGGAAAAGCTGCAATTGACAGTACATTCTTAAATCCTTCCATATGATAGGCTGTTAATCAAATATAATTTCAGGTAAATCTGTATAGAATCAAACTATCTTGTATAGCACAATTATTGTTAAAAATGTTGGCATCAGACACGGGTTTTATTTCTGAAGATTCCATTCCAGTTGTCACAAATATTTTAAAGCAGCAAAATTAGGGGTAAGAGTTTCACAGTACAGTCTAATAATGCACATGTGCTTGGAAATAAGCTTGACTTTTTGGGTGGGACACAGTCCAAAAGACATCCAAGTAAATGAAAGGAGTCAATCACAGGGGTGCTATTGACTGTGCAGTCACTGACTGTAAAGTCAAAAGGGCTTGTCAAATGTATTCAATTGATTATGTTTATTTCTACAGTAGTGGATTCCTAACTATCCCAATGCTGAGCCAACCAAACCAGTTAGCAAAAATGGACATATCACTGCCACACCACGCCTTCCCCCAGCACCCTCACTTCCTTTCAACCAAGATTGTGAATTACCTATAACTAATCATGATGAATCTGTGGCAGCACCATTCCTGATTAATGACAATAAGTTACATGGTCTTGTTAGTTAGATTGGCTTCTGTGAAACACAAACTGCATTGTAGTGTTTCAGTGTTTTTATTTTTGGCTGATCTGTACAATTTGAAGAGTGCTGAAGATTGATTTTTATTCGAAAACTCTGACTGTATAATGAGGGACTAGAGGTACATATCTGGAGCCAAATAACTTCTTAGACTGCAGCCCAGATATAATTCTGCAGTGGTTAAGGTAAACAGACTCAGATCAGAGAGATACAAATTCACTTTCATTTCCCCAGGGACCTCACTGGGGGGGGGGAGCTGGGTGGACTAGTTTGGTTGGTTCTTGCTGATGTCTGTGAACTCCACAGAATTGTTGGGATGAAATAACCAAATTTCTCATATTAGTCACCTTGGGTTCTGTGGAAAAAAAGAGAGGGAGGGGTTAAAGTTGTAGCTGTGATGGTTAGAATGCAGTGTTGCAGGCTAACTCTGCATTCCACTGCCAGAAGTTTGAGCCTGATGGGGCTCAAGGTTGACTCAGCCTTCCATCCTTCCAAGGTCGGTAAAATGAGGACCCAGATTGTTGGAAGTCAATATGCTGACTCTGTAAACAGTTTAGAGAGAGTTGTAAAGCACTGTGAAGCGGCATATAAGTCTAAGTGCTATTTCTGTTGCTATAATCTTGGATTAGCAAAGCTCAGTTTCCAATCTGTTTTCAAACCATGAAGCTTGTTGGGTAGCCTTGTTCAATTACCTGCAAAAGCATTCTAATTTGCCTCATTTTATTGTGAGATTAAACTGTATATTGGGAAAAAAATCCATACAGCATACCTTACCATGAATGCTTTGGAGACGTATAAAAATATCATTAATTAGTAGACATTCTATAAAAAGATAGTAACTTTTGTAATTTCAAAAGATTCCTTGCTCTTTTTCTCAACAATCTGCCTAGCAAAATTTATTCTAAAATGGCTCTTTAATTTGAACAATCTGGCAAAGTTGATTGATACCTGATATTTAAATAATGTGATCTGCAGTTATCACTTGAACTCATTTTCCTACTAACCAATCTAGCCACATGATTAAAGTTATACTACTTTTTTGGGTGAGCCCTTGATTGACATGCCCAGTTCTGTGGATCAGATCTCGATTTATAATGAGAAAACTTCTAAAAGTATCCTTTGGCAAAAGGCCAAGTAAAATCCAAACCCACCACTTCTAAGAATGTAGTTGACGGAGGCAGACAAATCCTTGCAGCAGACATACTGGATCATACTGATACGATGCAGAGGCATATGGAATGTATAACTGCCTCCCTCTTCCTTGATAGATCCCCAAATGCTATGGCACCTGCTTCAGTAAAGATACTTAACATAATGTGCTCTATAGAAGTTCTTCCTGGCTGTAGCCTGTGACTTGGTGATACAGTCCTAATCTCTCCTTTGTGGCGTTGAAGAACTTTTGCAGCTGCTTAGTTATCCAGTGACTAGTAAAATTAATCCTAGAATTTTATGGTCTAGGTCAAGATATGTGGATATCTTAGAACTTATTTCATGCCAATAAGGAGGACATTCAGGTTAGTCCCGTGGTTATATTTTCCAGAAGGTCAAAAACTGTATTGCTGCTGAAAGAGTGTGGTTTACTTTCTTAAGTGCTTCATCGTTTCATTCAAGATAGCCATCCGCCTCCATTATTAAGTCTGGCTCCACCTCAGATAAAAATGGTCTTTGGCTGATGATCTGACGAAACAATGGGCTGCTGGATGAAGCAGTTGTGGAGCAATTCAGGATTTGAATATATGAGGTTATGTATAATATATGTAGCTTCAAGCTGATGCTATCACCTTCCAAGAGAAATTCTGGAAGTTGAAGTCCATATCTTAGAGTTACCATGTTTGAAAAATATGCTATAGCTCAATAATAATGTATTCTTTGTAGCAGAACAACCCATGCAACAACCCAACAAGGACTGGGAGTACTCTAGTTTGAAACTCTGGAAACAGAATCCCATTAAGTGGTTTGATGCACGCATTGTCCTCCTCCAGGAATTGTTCTGATAATAGCTTCTCTGTGGCTTAGTGTAATGTAAACTAGCAATTGTGGCTTGTTTAACAGAAAATGATTGAGATAGGTTCCCCACCTCATCAGATTTATCACAGTAAAAATAATGGGTGTACAGAATGCTGCAAATGTTCCAGCATCATCGTTATGTTTACAAATGTCTCAGAATTCAAACCTTTCTTATTTAAAAAATATGGGCAATTGCAGTCCGCTGTTCTTGGAATGAGCATATGTAAGATGCTGAGAAATTATTGGGGTGACATAGAAGCCCAATTAATGTATTCAATACATGATAATTTGGCATCAGTATTCTTTCCAACTTTTCCAATTTTCACGGCTGAGAATATCACCAGGAAAACCATTGCCGACATGATTCTGATCTTTGTAGATATAGGTACCTCCTGACATCTGAATATCTTTTATAAAGCCTTCATTGCTACTCTGCCAAGTCCTAGACCTAATCCATGGCATATTTCTACACCGCTGATTCCCTTACCGTTGACAGTTGATACTAAAAGACAGAAGCTATATATTGCTGTAATGCAGGGGTAGTCAACCTTGGCTCTTTTATGACTCGTGGACTTCAAGTCCCAGAATTCCTGAGCCAGCTTAGCTGGTTCAGGAATTCTGGGAGTTGAAGTCCACGAGTCATAAAAGAGCCAAGGTTGACTACCCCTGCTGTAACATCATCATTATTAAGCCAAGCAAGGATAGTAGGGTTATTTTCCAGGATGTATGATAGAGGGATAGAAGGTAAAACAGTGTAAAGCAATGCTTCGTAACAATTTATATTTCTCATTCTAGCCAGGTAATGAATGTGTACTGTACTAGCAGCCATTTTGTAACATGATCCCAAATGTTTCTACCTAAAGGAGTCTTTTTGGCTGACCTCCCCCCTTTGTTTGAAGACTGACTTCTCTCAATGTTACCAGGATTTAGGGAAACAGTCAGAATCCGACCACCTCAGCAGGCATTTGAGAGGCATTTGAAGTGAGAGAGATTCCTCTTGGAATATAATATTATATGTTTTTTTAAAGCTGCTCAATGTGGAATATTTCTCTGTAATGTTTGACTGTTTTTTTAACTGTTTAGTCATGGTAAGATTGTAAGCTACTGGAAATTCCTGAGTGCAGTATAGTTTTCTCCCAAAACCGACTGGCACAGGGGGTGCACTACTGTAGATTTCATATACCTGTAATGAAGCTTCATACCTACGGACTCTTTCTTTAATAGGTAGCTTCCTAAGAGTTAAATAAAGAAGCTTAGCTGTGATGCCAGGCGTGATGTCTGAGCCTTTGGTGGTAGAGGTCAGCAGTGGTTCATGGGAAAGGAAAAATTGGCAGCTGGGCCGGATATCCTGCATTTCCTCTCTTCCTGCAGCCGCTTGAACTACGTTCCTTATTTAGCTTTCCTGATAGGCAGGAGAAATCTAATGGCGGAAACTGTCCTAGCCTGATAACAGCCCAGAGACCTCTTTCTGATGGGTGCTGTTAGGTATTACGGCAGGCAAAGGGTTAGTTTTCATTGTAGTTGGATGGGATAGAAGAGCCACATGACTGGCTTATCTTCCACATGTTTTCTCATTTAGGCAGAGCTCAAGTAGACCATTTAATAAATAGCATTTTCCACTGGAGAAGGCATGTTACATTCGAGGTCTTTGGTTTACTCACTCATATGTATGCGACTCACTTCGCCTTCTTGTTAGAAAGCCATCAAGGCTGTGAGCTGATGACGTTCTCAAGGGAAGTTCTGGTGTAGGGGCTGAGTCAGCTGATGCAGGGGAGGAGTGCTACGGGAGAGAAGAGGAGAGTCCTGAAATATAGTATAGCTTCTTGGCAGGTGTCCAGACCTGGCAAAGTTTTCCACTGACATGTTAGTAAGCTAGCCCTTAACAATGGCATGGTATCTAGTGACGGAGGGTTTTTTGGCTGGAAGTCAGGCAGAATTCTATAACCAAGCAGCATTAAAAAAAAAAAAAAACCCTTTGTGACATGTTCAGCATGGATCTGTTTGCAAAGACCCACACACTGATTTACAAATGCATATGAGAAGAAACAAAAATATTTTAAATATGTGTATCCACTGTGCATATGTTAATTTGGAATTTACTTATGGAGCAGCATGCCTCAACAGATTCTACAGCCAGGTCAGGCAACATGACTTTAATCACATAACACATTTTATAATATGTCAACCAAATAAATGCATATTTGGTTGCTAAGTTTGGTAATGGTAAAATTGGCTAGTTTTTTTTAATCTTCAGTATATTGGGTGATCCAAACCTGTTTGGCCACTCTGTTCTAGTATACTATATTGTGAAAATCCAGAAAATAGCTTCAATCAGTAGTAACATATTGTGCTAACACAATCCATTTGTGCACTTAGCACATCTTAAGTTTATCCCATTCTGAATGGGAAGTCTAGTTATTGCAGCCCGATACTTTTGGAGGGCTTCAAATTGAGAAAATCAAAAGTAAAGATTGACATGTCATGAATGGTTTGACATGGTGACTAATAAGTAAAAACCAGAGTTCTAAACAAAGTTAAATAAATCTAAACAAATAAAGAAAAGAAAATCAAATACACAAATACATAACACACTTACTCTCCACCATTGAACTAAACAATATTAACCCTCAAATTCATGGCCCAACTAAATGAGTCATGCAAATATTCTCAGCCAGCAGAATTGCAAAATGCCAAGGCCCAGAGTGTTGTTTTTCCATGGTGGTCTTGGGGTCTCTTGAAATCAAACCATTGGAAGGCAAGATTGGTTTTAGAAATTTATTAAAAGTAATAGTTCTGGAGGAGCATGGGAATTAACTATGGTAACATCTATAGTGACTGTATTGATATACTTTTTTGCTGTGGATGTTTTAGATAATATTGTAAACATTCAGGAGTCATTGAGATATTGCAGCGTAAAGCAGCATAAATTTCTGCCTGTCAAGTTCTTAGCCAGAGAACCACTGAATATTAGCATCATATTTTGGCTTCAGTGCTGGGGCAAGGGAGCTTTCAAATGGGATACTGTCTAGATAAGAGTGCCAGGTTTTTTTTTTTTTTAAATCATCCTTCCATTTCCTTCATAACTCAGCCATTATTAATAGGTTGCTTTTGCTGGTATTTTAATGTCAAATTGGCCCCAAAGTGGCTGAAGCATGAATCCAGGGAGAAATTCTGTGGAAAGATAAGCATTTTGGTTCACTGATTTGTCCCTACAAATGCTCGCTGCTTATGTCACTGGCAGATTTTGCTGAGTTATCCTGTATTTACATCCTGATTGTTTAATAATGTATCAGACTTTGGGGGGGGGAGGGTTTGCTGCAAATAACCTCCAAAAGGAAGTGTGAAGATAAATGTTTGTTAAGTCAGACCATGCACCTTGAAAGATACTCCTGCCTGTTCGGTGCCCTTTCTCTTTATTTCAGCCCTGTGTCTAATCTGTTTTCCTTGCTCATAGTTGAAAGCTTTCCACATTTCCACTGTAGCATTTAGCATCTGCAGGAAGGAATAAAGACAATCTAGCAGATGGTGGCTGTACTACTAGAATAGCTGATAGTCGTGGTCTCCGGAGATGTAGACATAAAGAAAAAGAGCAGGGTCCTGTAAAGTGTGCCTCAGAAAGAAGGAAGGAAGTTTTATTACTGGGCTAAATACTAAATTCGTTTTTCTTTACTCAATGACTTCCTAGGGAATATTGTCTGATTAAAACTGGGAATAAAAACTCCAAGAATTACTTCAAAGACCCACTCCAGAATTGCTTGGCCTGTCCAAAAACATTCGGCATATCAGAAATTTTATAGAAATTACACTTTTCTTTACTTAAGGAGAAAATCAGGAGGAACCTGGATAATCCAAAAGATGTAGAATAGCTTCTCTGCCCTGGTATCCTCCAGATGTGTTTTTTGACTTGGTACTCTCTGGAGGATGGAAGGTTTGGGAAAACTATTGCAAAACAAAGATATGTGAACTGCCAGAGCTCTGGGTGATTTATGGGATATGCAAGGCCCCTGTTCTCAGTGCTTTCACTGAACATGCATGGGGGGGAAGCAATGGAAGATAAATGATGGCACGTATGCTGGTATCATTGTGCAATTGCCAAGCCTTATATATTAGAAGCGCACCTTGTGGCACAATGTAATTTCTACATCTCTGGTTTGTTACAGCTGTCTCACAATGTGCAATAAGTAATTTGTGTCTAATGAGAAGTAAACTTCATTGAGTTCACAGGGCTTACTTCCATTCAGATAAGTAGATACTTTAGCAGCCTGAACTTCTCATTTACATCAGACTAATACCACAGATTTATATATTTGGTTCTTTACATATTCCTCATCTGCTTTTTATGTCATCCAGGCGTATGCTTGTAAGTTATTCTTCCAACAGTACAATAAATGTATAAAAAATGTCAAGTGGTGGGATTCAGCCGGTTTGTACCACTTTGGCAGACCCGGTAGCTAATTTTTTGTTGCCCAGGCCCAGAATGGACTTCCAGAAGTGGCATCCACGCAGATAATTTGAATTCCACCACTGCAAATGTCCATATATATAATCAGTTGTTTGTGGATGTGTATTAGGCAGCTCTTATTTTGAGACAAGATTTTTCAGCTTGTAAGCTTAATTCGTGAATGGGAGAATTTCCATCAAATGCCAGGATTGTTGCTAGCTGGGAGACTGAAAAACATTCTTTAAAAAGGCAGTAGTGATCCCCATCCATACTGTCATTAAAAAAACCTCGAGGATATGTTCATGTAGTTGTTAGGAGTCAAACTCGAATCAAGTGAGTCTTTACTTTCTACTTGGAAATAAATATATAGATGAAGAAAGCGTTGCCAAAAGGAATGAGAACAGAAATGTTATTTGAAACAGAAAGTAGAATGTGAATTTTGTCCAACATATCTGGAAGAGAGGGATTTTTACTTATTTATTTTTCAGCTTGTTAAATTAAGGAATGGCTAGTCCAAGGCTGTCTACAAGGAGGATCAAAAAAACAACAACCACAATTGTGGCCCCATTCTTGACTTTTTGACCACTCTCCATGGACCCTTCTGGGCTAGCTTACAGTCACCTTCTCAGAATGGTGAGTTGATAGCAGTGTTCCAATATCTCAGGGGCTGCCAGAAAGAAGAGGGAGTCAAGCTATTCTCCAAAGCGCCTGAGGGCAGGATGCAACGAATGGAAACTAATCAAGGAGAGAAGCAACCTAGAACTAAGGAGAAATTTTCTGACAGTTAGAACAATTAATCAGTGAAACAATCTGCCTCCAGAAGCTGTGAATGCTCCAGCACTGGAAGTTTTTAAGAAGAGACTGGACAGCCATTTGTCTGAAATGGGTTTCCTGACTGAGCAGGGGGTTGGACTAGATGACCTATAACAGTGATGGTGAACCTTTTAGAGTCCCAGTGCCTAAACTGCAACCAAAACCCACTTATTTATCACCAGGTGCCAGGTGGGCGTGGCCACGGTGGTCATGGCAGACTGGGTGGGCGGGGCCAGGAAGGCGGGGGCCAGTCTCTCGCCATCTCCAGGGCATGGTACACGTGCCCACAGAGACGGCTCTGAGTGCCGCCTCTGGCACGTGTGCCATAGGTTCGCCACTACTGACCTATAAGGTCCCTTCCAACATTATTATTATTGTTGTTATTATTACTGTTGTTGTTGTTGTTAAAGCTAGCTCTGTACAATCCAACTCTAAAACTCTTGCCAGGTCTACCTCCATTTAATTATTTTTAGTCATTTTGTTTGGGTTGACCCAAAATGTAGTAAGCTTCATTAAGGAGAGAAAATAGTTATATTTCTTTATGCCATCTGAAAATTTGGAAATTGTTACCTTCTCTGACTGCATTTTTTATTTCTGCTACTTTGTCTGCATTTTTTATTTCTGGTATTTTGTCTGCATTTTTTATTTCTGGTATTTTGTCTGTTTTTACCCTTCCATAATCTCCATCTCATACATATGGGAATAGCCTCATTACATGCTTTTTTATGAATAGGTTCATATTTTAACTCTAAGCCAAAATGTGAGTTGGATTTGTGAATCCAAGAACTTTAGTTTATAAAGAGTATACTTTGATTTAGCATGCTGGGTGAACTCAATTAATATGGCTCATTCAATAAATCAGTTTCTTTCTTGTCCTTACCTCATTGTAAATAAAATCTGTACAACATCCCATGGGGATATTTTTTTGAGTTAGATGGTGCAACATGTAGAGTTATATGCTTAGAAAAAAGTTATTTAGAAACCTTCAAATAAGAAAACATGCATACTTCAACAGGTTTTTCTTGTTACAATATGCTGTCTTATTCGTCAACATTCATTTCAGTATAGAAATTTCTGGCCTCTTTGCATTTGTGCATTGTACCTTTGCCACAATGTAAACATATATACAGAACTAGTTTATATGATTTTTGAATTGTGTCAAGCTTACTCAACTATTAAATGCTATATCTTTAATAGTAACTGTTATCCTAAAATGGAAACAATTACTATATATAAACATTTTTTTGCTATTGTTCTGTATTTTTTTTTTTAGTATTGCTAGAGTTTGAATGATCTTTTTAATAGTTTTAGAAAGGAAAATAATAATCTGGTTAGAAGATTGATGATGTTCTGAGAACAATTTGACAAATGTTTATTAATATTTCTTTTTAGCTTACAGTTGATTAGTAAGACTACAAAGATAGTCAAATGTAGCATGTTGGCTAACATATTTTTAAGCACAGTGGGGGAGACTTGCTATGAGTGCAATTTTTTTGCGAGCTATTTGATGCCCAGGATATCTCTAT